GAAAAGGCGCGCGCTACATGCTAGTTCTTTCTAAAAGAACCTTTTTTTAAAAGGCATGTTAAGTCGATAACTCGAATCTATCGAAATTTATTGTCGCTTTTCCGCGATGCTGATTGGTTGTTTCGCGTCGCTTACTTCGTGAGCAGTTTTCATCGCGGAGATTTTGATGTTGACACGTGTGAACAAATTAAGATTGTATTGAGGTTACTGAGGTTAAAAGCGTAAAAAAGACTTCGCTGTTCAAGATCGTCTCGCAATCAGATAAGTTTTATAACCTTTATTAATTTATTTTTTCTAATTCTTTGTAGTTTGTAAATCGATTTTTTGTGTGGTATTTGATTTTATTTTTAGTTAGAAAGAAAAGGAGACATGTTACATTATTTTTCAAAAAAAGAGTACAGAAAGGTTTAAAGGAAGGGAAGGAAAGGAAAGGAAAAGAAGGAAAGGAAGACAAGAAGTATGATTTATACGTACATATCAGTAGGGTATCGATAGTTAAATTTTTCGTTATTAGAGCTGATATTTTAATAACTTTATGACAACTTTACTCATGTTTATAGAATTTAAAATAATCTTGAAACGATAGTAGTCTTGAGACTTGAAGAGTACAAATTATAGTACTCGTAAGAAAGAATAAGAATCATTAAGTAAAGAATCATAAAGAATAAGAATCATTAAGTTCTGAGTTGAAATAATTGTAGACAATGTAGACATCTTAATGTGTGTGATAAATTCCATTTCGTAAATTATATGGGTTCGCATTCTTTATTTTATACATTTTAGGTCAATGTTCCATCAGTTCGTTCCGCTCGCGTATCTGTTTAGCGATGCTGTTCAACAGATTATCAACCGATACAGCGACGAAGCCGATTCTCTGATGCGATACCATTTCAAAATATTTGTACACTTGTTTCCGCACGTATAACTGGACATTAACGCTGCTCACTTTTTTCACGAAGCAATCCGTCAGCACGGAAAAGACAACGGAACTGCCACCATAAAATTTTTCATTCTCGTAATTAGATCCTTGATAAGGGTGAGAATCGTGTCAATTTGGCGACATGATATCCAATCGTTATCTAGCATACGAAACATGACGATTGTCTTCTTTAAGATGACTTTGTCAAATGCCGTAGTCCAAGGGACAAACAAGAAGTATGATTTATACATACACAGTAGGGTATCAATTGATAAATTTTACGTTATTAGAGTTTGATATTTTAAATTATATCAGTTCGCATTATTTATTTTATACTTCAGGTCAATAAAGTAAAAAGATAGCAAAAACTCAAAAAGTGACATTTTTGTTAAAAGTGACATTTTTGACATTCTTTTGTAAAATGGTTTTTTAAATTGAAAGAAATATATCTTAAAAAGAAATAAGTATTTGGTTCGATTAACAAAATGGTTTTTTAAATTGGAAAAAATATTTCTTAAAAAGAAATAAGCATATGGTTCTACTAACAAAATGGTTTTTTAAAGGAAATAAATATTTGGTTTTATTAACAAAATAGTTTTTTATATCAAAAAAAATATTTGTTAAAAAGAAATAAGAATTTGGTTCGATTAACAAAATGATTTTTTTAAGGAAATAAATATATATGGTTTTATTAACAAAATGATTTTTTTTATCGAATAAAATATTTATTAAAAAGAAATAAGTATTTGGTTCCATTAACACAATGGTTTTTTAAATCGAACAAAATATTTTTTAAAAAGAAATAAATATTTGATTCGATTAACGAAATGGTTTTTTAAATTGAAAAAAATATTTCTTAAAGAGAAATAATAGTTTGGTTCGATTTACAAAATGGTTTTTTAAAGTTAAAATTGTCAAATAATTTTTCTATTAATGTTATTTATTTAATAAATAAAAATTATATATATTTAAACATATATGCATACATATATAGACATATTAAATTAAAAAAAAAAAGAAGAAAAGATAAATAGATAGAGATAGATTTATCTTTCAACAAAAAAAGGAGTTACTTATCAAAAGAAAATGAAATATATTTTGTTCAAATTGTGATTAAAAATATTTTTGATAAAAAATTTTTAATACATATTACGAATAAAATGCTAGAACTCCGAAAGAACTTTGAACAACAAAATATATTTAGAAAAGACATTTTAAATATTTATTATATAGTATAATCGACTATTAAAAAAAATTTATTATACAATAATCGAAGTGGAGTATGCCTATTGGGAAAACCACTATAAAAAAAACGCATCATGCTATCTACCGCAAGGTAATGTGGAAATGATAGCATTATGTCATTTCCTTCTTTGTACTGTGACATTAATTCACAGTAATTTTTTTTTAAAAAACGCTTGTTATTTAAATTTAAATGCTTATAAATAGAAAAGTAATTTAAAAAATGAAAGTTATATTATAAAATATATTTATAAAATTGCATAAAACATATTTCTAATAATTTAATTATTTAATTTTTTATATAATAATATTAGTTTTTTATTATTACTATAATTATTAT